GAAGAAGAGCACTCCATGCCTTCCAGAGAACCCCTGGTTCTGTGGCCAATTTCCAATTTAAATGAGAGGCTCTGCTCTCCCCTGGGAGGAACTGTTAACTTGGACTTGGAGGTCATGGAATGAACTTTCAGAAAAACCATCATTTTTCTCAACCAGTTAAAATCAAACGTAGTATGTGTTTTCATTTCACAGTGCCTGAGGAAAATTAAAATCTTGCTAGTTTTAAGTAAAATTGCCAAAGTAAATAGAAATGTGGGATATTTCCGGGCTCACACAGCTTCCGGGACACTTCAGTTTCTAGGGCTGCCGATCCAGTGCCTTTCACAAGCATTTGATCTTCTCTCAAACATCTCTTGAAAACAAACAAAACCTCATACAGCTTCAAATGTGTGTACGATTAGGATGTAAGGGTGGAACAGGCGGCGGAGACCTGGGTTCACACAGAGCAACTCCCCTCTTATTCCTCTAACTTCTTGCACCTTCCCCGCCCCTCAAGGGGATCACGGTTTTCTTAGGTAATGTATTTTGCAGTTTCTCATGTGCAGAAACACTCAAAGGGAAAGATGCATTCTACTCTCTTTACCTTTTACTAATTTTTCAATTCGAGAACAGGAGGCTCACTTTTAACATCCTGGACATAGCTGGTACTCCGATATTAAAATGGAAGACTCGGGTAGTAGGGAACAGATTAATCATTTTAGGTGAAGCAGAAGCCCCTCATCCACCTCCCCACCTTTGACGATGTTTTTGGACTATCCTCTTGAAAATGTCTAAGCCTATGTGCTGACCCTGTCCCTCCCTGGGTGGCACAAATGGTTAAGGCGTTCGGCTACCAACCAAAAGGTGGGTGGTTTGAGTCCACCCACAAGCAGCTCAGAAGAACGTTCTGGTGCTCCACCTCTGAAAACCCAGCCTGGGCAAGCCTGTGGAGCACAGCCCCACTCTGACACGTGGGGTCGCCATGCATGGGACAGCTGACTGTGATGACAGCTGGACTTGGATTCTCCGCCTCCACATGCAAAACCCAGTGATTACCGATTCCTTTGAAAAATAGGGATGGGTATGGCCGTAGGCAAGACAAATCAACTTTTATAAAAGGACAACCTTCAAACCCCAAACCAGCTTTCCCACCCCCAGGGTTATAACTGGATTAGGAGCTGCTCTCCCTTGTGCCCACGCACTTTTCATTCGTCTTTCATGGGAAGGAAGAAATCTTAATGGCTTTCGTGCTATCCCATTTCTATCCAGTCAAATGAGATGATAAGACTTCCATTCTGAATTCAAGGGGGAAAAAATCAAAACAGCAGATATTGAGAACAATTATCAAATGCCCATTGTACTGCTTTTCTCTTCCTTAGCTATACACTTTTCATTTCCATCCACTCAGCATGCATTTTCATCCCCATTGGGTCAGATGAAGAAACATATATTTACTAACTGTTCTCCTTAGCTCCTGATTGGCACGATCAGAATTTCCATAGGGAGAGATAATGTTCAAAGCAAGACCTGCAAAAGGGTAAGCATTGTGGCAATCGGTCTCTGTGAGAAAATCACTGCACATTCTTCAATGAGAGGCCAAGCCATTGTAGATCGAGCCCAAATTGACCGAATGACCCAGACTTTTAAGCTGGAATTGATATGCCAAATGTGCTACAAAACTGTGTAAACTATGTGTAAGTGTTCACATGGAGCCCTCTGGCTGGCTAACACTAAGAGGTTAAATAATCAAGACCAGTCATCACTGCCATCTGTAAAAATATGATGTGCTATTTTCACAGCTGCCAATAGCAATCATGGCATGACAAACATTCCAAGGATTAGGGGCAAGACCCTGGCAAGTTAAGGGTTGGGTACAGATTCCTCATC